TCTCAGAAAGAAGAAGAACGCTGACGCTCAGGCTGCTTTCCGTGCACGCCGTGCCAACTATATTACCACCCTCGAAGAGACAGGTCCGTCTGCTGCTAAGTACCTAAATATTCATGTTCCGACAACTAAGTGTCCGTAAATCACAGTAACCAGCTTAGAGGCAGTTGTAGTCCAGCTTCAGGACTCGTGTCGCAAGGCTCGCGCCGAAGCCTCAGAATTGCGTCAGGAAAACCACTACAGTGTCTAGTCTGTAGATTATGTAGTATATACAAAAATATATTACTTTTGTACTTAGATACAAAGAATAATACTCTAACTCATCTCTTAAATTTTTTTTCTCTCAGGTCCGGTTATGGACCGGTCCAGAACCGGACTGGAACTTGGGTCCGGTCCACTACCCGTCCACATAGGTCCGGTCCCCAGTCCGGGACACTCCCGGACCGCAGATTTGGTCCGGTCCTGAGTCCAGGTGAAGTATGCCCGGACCGGACCAGGACCGGACTTCAGCAACTATAACACTGAGTGGTCAATCGTCACCTCACCCCTTGTCTATGCGTGCCCCCCTTAAGCTTCACCTTTTAACAATTACTCACGAAACACTCGTCTTGCGTGATAGAGCACGTAAGTTCGCGTTTAGTGCAATGGACGATGGATCCAACTCTTTTACACTGAATCGACCTCCGATAACTCGATGAACTCGTTCATGAGGGGTGCTTGTGTCTAGTATCTACTGTGATATTCGGATAAACTTAACCCTTACTCAACATCGATTTAACTGCGTAGAAAAAGGTGCATCCTATTATTAACAATTGTTGCGCAAAGCTGCAGCTCTCTCAATGGCAACTGTGGCAAGCATTTCCGGCATTGATACTTTGCTTGTACTTGGCTCTGCAAACGTCACACAAGCACCCGATGCAATAAGGGGCAGCTTGTTCATTGCTCAGCAGTCACCACACCCGCACAGAGTGCGCCCAGAACGGAACTGCGAAATCCAACTTCCCTCAAGACCAAACTTCTGTCACTCGTTTAGACTTTCATTCTTTTTATGCCCACAGTGGCAACTAACTCCACACTCCTTTCGCTTCCAGATGAGATCATTATTGAGATTTTAATTAACTGTCCCATCAAAACTGTCCTTCGGGTTGAAAGAGTATGTCCCATCGATTCTATTTGTTCACAGCACAGCACAGACTGAATCTTCATGTAGACCTGCAGGAGCCTCCACCAAGTATGTCAGTCCCGGCCAGTCTGGAAGGCACTCTTGGAGGGGCTTGACATTGAACATGCGCCAAGCGTCAACCCTTTTGAACCCTTAGATGCCGTTCCTGTACCCGATCTTAAACAGACTGTCATAAGCGCTATACGTAAGCATCGCAATTGGAGAGATCCAAGACAGGTCCACGACATGTTTGTCGTCGACCTCCCGCTTGATCGGTCACCAGAAGGTTGGGATGTCATCGTTGAGCCTCGCCTTCTTCCAAGCGGGAAAGAGATACTGGTCCTAAATTGCGGGATGATCGAGCTGTGGTCACTCGAAACTAAGGAACGACTTTGGGCACTGACATCTCCCATGGGCCGGTCCAGCTGCGCTGGGTATGATTTCGAAGTCACTAATGGTGGAACTACGCTAGTCACGGCGCTTTTGTTTGAAGATTTTGAGTTGTCCACCACGTAAGTAGCATTTATCTATGACTGGTATAATCTACCTGCAATCTGACGCTTCTTACATTTCCTAGGAGCCCTCTGCGCGTGTACTCCTATGACTTTACAAATAAGACCCATACGCTAATGTTCGAACGTGTCCTGCCGCCAGTATTTCTGTTCCGCATGATGATCCGGGGTGACTACTTCATTGGATGTATACCTCGTACTTTCCAAACGGTTGTCATCAATTGGAAGTCTGGCGAAGCACTCTTGCTCGACTTTGTTGACACGATGGTGAGTTCAGTCTACTAATGCACCGTCACATATACTCAAAGAGCACTTTGCCTTCATGCTTTTAGGGCAACAGGATCGATCCACGAAGTACTGTCCTCGCCGATGACAACCTCATTGCCTTCGTGACTCTTGCAGAGGACGGGTTCGCTGCAATCAGGCTGCCACTCTCCGCGCTCAACGGCAAATGGTCAAAGGCCCCAGACCACACGTCTTGGCCTCATGTGTCAGTTCGTCCATCAGAACTAGGCTCGACAGTGCTCCTTCTCCCATATCCAGGCCAGGAAGAAAGAGTTATTAACAGGAACGACGGACTTGGACCTTGGATATTGGCGCATCGTGTTTATAAGCCGACGTGGAAGCCGAATGCTCCGACGGAAATCTTCATTGCTGCGTATGATTTTGGGCCGGGTGGACAAACCCCTACACGTCTCGTTTCATTCCGTCTCCAACTCTCACGTTCTTCAAGCTCATCGCCGACAGAGCGCGTACTTTCACTAGTCAAGTCCTCATGTGCACAAGCATCACAGTTACCCTGGAATTCTCGAAGTCTCTCGAATGCTGGACGGATGTTCTCACTTCGCTCGAAGATAAGGTGTTTCTCGCTGTTCACTGATGCTACACAGCCGATGAACGAATTGAACCTGAACAAGGATATCGTTCCGTGTGCGGATGAGATCGAGCCTGTTATTTCTTCTGTAGAGCCGTGGAGTGGCGCGATCGCAATTGGCATGCCTGGCATGGTGAAGGTGATCAACTTTTTGTGATTGCCTTAGTACGGATGGCGAACGCATGGCTTGTTTCGATGAGACATGATATTCTATCTGATGATTTGTTGCTATCTTTGTTTGGTTTGATAATGACATGACGACAGGGTATACAGACAGTGAGTACTAATTCTAGGACGACGCCCATGCTACAAAGTAGGTAATACACAAAGCAATAATCAACTTCATTAGTATTCACCGAACGCTGTGTGTCCAGTTTGCATAGCATGCTCTCGTGCACCTTTCTCTCCTTTCAGGCCTGCTTTGCATATCTATGTCATGTCACATCAAAATAATAAGTATGCGTTCCCTTCTAAGAATCAGTGGTTGTTTGAACTTCACGTACCTCACATCGCAAGTCAAACGTCGCGGTATTGGTATACGCTCTTTTCGCTCTTAGCTTATCAGCAAGCTTACTCGCTGCACCCAACACGTTATTGGTTTGTGCATCCTCCCCTTCAATCGGGAAGACCGTCTGATGGAAGTCTGGTGGGGCATCTACCATCGGTGCGATCGACGCTGCGTCGTAATGTATTCCTGAGTAAATTAAAATACACCTGGTTGATGCCTTGCCCGTTGTTGGTTCGAACCGGTCTATCCGGCCAGTCTCGACGTCGATTGAGGCGATTTCGGTGCTGTAATACTTGGCGAGGATGGACAACTCGATGGCTCCGCCCCATGACGATGGTTTGAGAATGTTTTGGATGTACTGCTCTCTTGGTAGACTATGACCAATAACCATTTGAAGTGGGAGTTAGCGCTGTTATCTTGAATAACATGGAAGAAGACAAATCTACCCAAGCATTGCTTCAGTCCAAGTTTCGGCGTCCTGACGAATAGCGTCGGCTACGGCTAGGTAAGATGAAAAAGCATAAGTCACATTTGATAAGAGCATCGCGAAAGGTGCATGATAGGTTGCACTTACTCTTCCTGATAGCCTGGGCCTTGCCAATGTCCTGTTCGAACACTAGTGCAATACAGCTGAACAAACAGGAGTTATCATCTGGTACAACCTAAAGCATTTCCCCCATATTCAGCCACGATCATACTTAGATTGCCAAACATCGGACTCACACGGTGCACCAGTATTCCTGCGTCTGTGGGTACATAGTCCGGTCCTCCTTGACTGGCTTCGAAGCTCATAGCAGATTGCAGGGGCGGGGTAAGAGTTGATCGGGAAGCAGTAGCTTGCGCTGATAAGTTCGACGCTGTTGAGTTTGGAGGTGCCGGGTCATGTGCGGCTGTGGTTGTAGTCACGGCTCCTTGCGTCAAGATAATTTGGTCACCAGATTTAAGCCCAAGACTTGAGACGGGTAACTCTGGTACAAGGGTAAGTTGGCGAGGAGGGTATCCATACTTCACTGGGCAAGGAGGCCGGAATCTCTTAGAGACCATGCATTCGCGGGAGGATGAATGCGAACTTACATTCTTGCTGCGACGGAAGAACGTCTGATATAGCACGGATCTGTTGCTGCAGATCCTGCACTGATGCAGAGTTGAGGTCGATGTCGATTGTTGACTGTCCCCTCGGATGCCGCAAACGAATTTTAGCCATAGACATGGTTGTTATTTAGAGGCGATTGGAGCAGGTGTGATTCGATTCAAAGAGAAAAAGAAAAGGAGTGACCTGTGGCGAGGGCCAAAGTTGAAACCCACACACCACCCGCGGCCAAAACACGCAACTCAGTCCCGGATCACGTGACGTGATTTATTCTTATTTTGCGTTCGAAGATTTTGTTGGACGCATTGACACGGAAGGCACACTGCATATACATATGTCCTCTCGTATCTGGTTCCAATGCAAGAGCTGTCCTCAACAATCTAGCATATGAAATGAGCTACTCATATAAGCATCTATTACTTTTGCATGACATTACTATTACACAAAGCACGAGTACAGGTGTCCAGCTACAGAAAGGCTTGCACAAATCTTAATTGAGCAGCATCAATCATTGTGACTTATCTTGATGTTTGCCCACGTATCCCCGTGACATAACTTCGACCAGTCAATCCTAACAGGATGGCAAGGAGCATTGCGTGGAAGGCAATCTGCACTCATATCGCAAAGACCATGTCGGTACTCATGCGGAATCCACAGTATCAGACCACCTGTCGGAGTCTGAATCCATCCGTCCGCTGCCACAGTTGACAGATAGTTCGCGTACAGTGCTGTACTTGTCAATTCCATCTTGGTCAACCAAAGACAGGACAACATAGTATCGGCCCAGGTAAAAGGCAAAAGAAAACACCCACCATTGATGACCATCAAGCTGTGGGCCCACATGTGCACCCGTCTGAGCATCCCAAACTCGAATCGTTTTGTCAGAAGACCCGGAGATGACATGACATCCGTCTAGCGAATAAGCAACACACCGGACCCAGCCTTGATGACCTTCGAGTGGTCTGCCCAGTTGCACACGCGTCTGAGCATCCCAAATCCTCAGTGTCTTGTCATCTGACCCAGAGACAATATGCCTCCCGTCCGGCGAATAAGCAACAGATTGAACCGAGTCTTGATGACCTTCGAGTGGCGCGCCCACCTGTGCACCCGTCTGGGCATCCCAAATCTGCACCGTCGCATCATCAGATCCCGAGGCAATATATCGTCCATCTGGCGAATAAGTGACAGACCTGATCCAGTCTTGGTGACCTGTATGTGGCCTGGCCACCTATCTACCTTTCTGGGTATCCCAAATGCATACAGTCTTTCCAGAAGATCCCGAGACAGAGTACCGCTCATCTGGCGAATATGCGACAGACCAGACATCGCCTTGCTGACCTTGGAGTGGTGCAAATACCTGTGCACCCGTCTGAGCATCCCAAATCCTCACCGTCTTGTCAGACGAAAGAGATGATATGCCCGGGCCGTCCGTCCGGGGAACACGCAACAGAATAGACGTTGTCTTGGTGACCGTCGAACAGCATGTCTATTTGTGCCGTTTGGGCATCCCAAATGTGCACCGTCTTGTCCTCAGACCCAGAGGCAACATGACACCCGTCTGGCGAATATGCAACGGAGAGGACTGAGTCTTGATGTCCTTTAAGTGGTTTACTGTTAAGACCGCTGTTTCGGCGTTTTCCGAGACATGTGCATATACACATATATCATGCATCGTCCCTAGTGTAGAGTATATATATGAGGTCGTTCCGACCTCATACAATATCATCATTACCTTTGTTCGTTATCCCTTGAGTCATCAGCATGATTCCCCAGCAAACAGGTTTTTAACAAGCATAGTAGGAGTGCCCCTCAACTCTCTCTTATTGAGACATTAAGCAAGTGTCTGCCTTATATACTACAGGGTGAAGTCTGAGAGTCTGAGACATTCCAAGTGTAGTAATGCTACATAAGGCAGTTAGGGGTTTCCTAATCTAGAGCATAATCTAATACTCCCCTTCAAGCATTAATTAAGAACTAAGACTGTATGCCTAATAGTTTGATTAAATGCTTGATCTGTAGGATATGGAGAGCTTTTGTAAGAATGTCTGCTAATTGATTCTACAATTGGACATAGTATACATTAATGTAATTGTTTTGAATGTAGTATTGTACAAAGTCTTTTTGTAAATCAAGGTGTTTAGTGTGAGCATTGTATGTTATTTTGTCAGACTTTACAGTCTTTATTACACCTTAGTTATTGTAATAAATTGTAATAGGTGCTGATTCAGTCTGTAGTACCTCTTTAGCAAATTGTTTGAGCCAAATGGCTTTCTGAGTAGTATACACTAGTACTTGCAACTCAGCTTTGTAAACAGATAATAGTACCAGGTTTTACTGTTTGCTTAACTAAGATATGGTCAATTTAGCTAATTGAAAGATGTAGCTGTTTATTACTTTATGTCCTTCTGTCATTTGTCTGTCTGTATCACAATAGCCTCATAGTTTTAAGGTGTTTGTGCTTCCAAGTTGAAGCTAGTAATTCATTGTATATTTCAAATATGTAAAGTAATGTTTCACTACTTTGTAGTAATGTGTTTAGGGCTTTTGTAGGTAGTATACTTTTAACTAGTGTAGCAGGAGTGCCCTAAGTACTCTCTCTATTAAGACATCAAGCAAGTGTCTGCCTTATATACTACATAGTAAAGTCTGATAGTCTAAGACATTCCAAGTGTAGTAACTCTACATAAGGCAATTGGGGATTTCCTAATCCAGAGTATAATCTAATACTCCCCTTCAAGCATTAATTAAGAACTAGGACTGTATACCTAATAGTTTGTTTAGATGCTTGATCTGTAGGACATGGAGAGCTTTTGTAAGAATGTCTGCTAATTGGTTCTGTGATTGAACACAGTATACATTAATATAATTGTTTTGAATGTAATATTACACAAAGTCTTTTTGTAAATTAAAATGTTTAGTGTAAGCATTATACATTATTTTGTCAGACTTTACAGTCTTTATTACACCTTGATTATTACAATAAATCATAATAGGTACTGATTTAGTTTACAGTACTTCTTTAGCAAATTGTTTGAGCCAAATGGCTTCTTGAGTAGTATACACTAGCACTTGCAACTCTACTTTGTAAACAGATAGTAGTACCAGGTTTTACTGTTTGCTTGACTAGGATATGGTCAATTTAGCTAATTGAAAGATGTAGCCATTTATTACTTTATGTCCTTCTGTCATTTGTCTGTCTGTATCACAATAGCCTTATAGTTTTAAGGCATTCATACTTTCAAGTTGAAGCTAGCAATTTGTTGTATATTTTAAATATGTAAAGTAATGTTTTACTACTTTATAGTGATACATTTAGGGCTTTTGTAAGTAGCATACTAATTGCTCAGTAATATAAGATATGTTTAGCTGTATGCAATCTGTAACATATCTTAACAATCCTACCATATTTATGTATGGTATTGTTTCATTATTACTGTTACAGTTCTCTACTCTTATACCTTCAGTTCTAAGGGTTCTACACCCTTCTGTACCAGAACTCAGGACTTCTGTCCCTTAGAGGCACTGTCTATAGACTATATGTGTACTAACTCTTACTACTATCCTTCCTTACTTCATCATTCCATTCCTTTGACCACCCCTTTATTCTTTGTTCATTCTATAGTCTCTTACTCTTTGTCTATCCCTTCATTCTTTGTACCTTTATCTTTGACCTTCCTTTCTTTCATTCTTTATAGCTTATCATTCTTAGTAGTTTATACTCTCTAAGTACTCTTGTGTAGTTTAGTATATATAGGTGTATGAGATCAGACTAGTTCTGTTACAGTTCTCTACTCTCTTACCTTCAGTTCTAAGGGTTCTACACTCTTCTGTACTAGAACTTGGGACTTCTGTCTCTCAGGGGCACTGTCTATAGACTATATGTGTACTGACTCTTACTACTACCCTTCCTTACTTTATCATTCCATTCCTTTGACTACCCCTTTATTCTTTGTTCATTCTATAGTCTCTTACCCTTTGTCCATCCCTTCATTCTTTGTACCTTTATCTTTGACCTTCTCTTTCTTTCATTCTTTGTGGCTTATCATTCTTAGTAGCTTATGATCCCTGAGTACTCTTGTATAGTTTAGTATATATAAGTGTATAAGATCAGACTAGTCCTGTAGTCTTGATCTTGTCTACTCTAGGTAGTTCTGTACTCTTAGGCTCACTCTATATACCCTACTCTTGTCTCACTCTCTCTCTCTGCCTGTTCTACAAATTCTGACTATGTTCTAGTACTTGTATTCTATATTTCTGTTGTGTAGAATAGTTGTAGTCTGGGTCCCCTTACTAAGCCTTCAGGTCCCCTCTACACTGTTACTGACATCAGATTAAGACTACCCATTACTACCCTACAACTCTCCTATGTTTTAAGCATTAGTACTTACTATTGTGTCAATCTCTTTTCTTTGTCCTAACCCTTTTACATTTTTAAATTTTAAACTTTCTAAACCCTTTTAAACTTTTGCCACTCTTCTTCTATTCATTACCCCTTTTAGTTTAGTGCTGATTCCTTTGTAGTGTAAACATGGACCCTTCTATACTAACTGCCACCCCTACTGTCCTGCCAGATTAGTAGTTACAAGTAGAACTAGCTTAATATGTGTAGACCTCTATCTAAGAGGCCTTTACTAACTACATACCTCTAGCCTCTTCAGAACCTGTTCTGATTGTTCTGGAAGTTACAACCTGTTCTGGAAAGAAAGTGTATGTAGCCTACCCTTTAGACTTTAATAGGTAGCACTTTAAGGACTTCTAGTACTAAGTTGAACTATACATAACTACTACTTTAACTAATTTATTCTCAGATCTTGATTGTGTCCTATTTGTCCTCTCCTTCATGAAGGAAGGTAACACAGCCACCTGGGCCTAGAACTGGATTGAAGGCTATTAGATTGGAAGCCTGATCTGACTTCAGAACAACAAGTCATATTTAGAATTCATAAGGTAGCTTTGTACTTCCTTCATTAATCTGAATAAGAAGTATAATGTACAGAACAAGCTTGTGTCTCTGTAACAGGGCAAACATTCTGCTGATACCTTCTTTCAGGAGTTCAATATCCTAGCCTAGAAGGCAGGATTCATGCTTGGGTTTGATAATGTCCTCCTTAGAATACTTGAAAAAGCTCTTTACTCAGAACTAGTTAATAAGATTCTTAGAATAATACTAGAACTGGTCACTTACACTGAGTAGAAGACACACACTATTTCCTTTGACTAAGCTACAGCTTGAATGTATTAAGTCTGTGTAGAACACTCACACATGTGTTTAGCTCTGACAGTTCTGAGCCCTCAGATCAATCTGTCTGTAATTTACAATCAATCTGTTCTAATAGACATTAGAGAAGCCTGAAAGTAAGGAGTATACTTTACCTACAGAAAGTCAGAGCACTAAATTAAGGACTACTTACAGAAGTGACAGTATATCTGTCAGGTTATTAGAGTAATAATGAGTAACAAGTAGGATTTGTAGTAAGAAGCCTTTTTTACAAATCTGGAAGTCACTTTAGAACTCCTAGACCCTAACTATATACTCTAGGATTTTGTAGAGGCCTAACAGTGAATGTAGTACTGAAGGGTTATGACTCAGATTTTTTAATGACTACTTTTGATTTAATAGACACTATAGGATTAGAAGTAAATAAAGTAAGAAAAGTAGAAAAAGTAGAAAAAGTAAATTAACAAAATTATTTATTAGAAAGAAAAAAGTTGAAAACAAAAGTAGATAGTTCTCCTATTTCTTCTGATTCTTTTGATTCTTCTCTTTGTACTTTATCCAAGTCTAAATCTGTACAATCTGACCTACTACTTCTGTGTTCTAAAATCTTAGAATGTTTAGAACACTACCTAGCCCTGTTTACTACTCAGTAGTTTTTCTGTAGTATTAAACAGGGATGGTCTCAGCTGAGTTTACAGCTGAGAATATAAGTCCATCCTTGTTAAAAGAGAGAGGTTAATAAGGAAATGTTAGTACATATACTTACTCTCTTAGATAATGAGACTGTACAAGCTGTATGTTCTCTTTAGAACAAGTAGTAGTTCATTAGAGGAAATTCTAGACACTAGCTCTAGGTTCCTGTCCTCTTGGCTCCCTTCTTAGGATCCTCCCAGATCT